TGAAGGAGACCCTGAGACTATCTAGCATAACCCATGCTGACTGCAACAATCCCAGTTAAAGTTTCTCAAATATTCTTATCAGGTGTAGTTAGACATAGACGAAGACATAGTGTGCACCTGTAAAATGAGATGAATGAGATGAAATGAGATGGGAGGTGGCACAGTGGGTAGAGTGCAGTACTGCAGGCCACTTCAGCTGACTGCAGTTCGGCTGTTCAAATCTCACTGGCTCAGGGTTGACTCAGCCTTCCATCCTTCCGAGGTGGGTAAAATTAGGACTCGGATTGTTGTTGGGGACGATATGCTGACTCTGTAAACCGCTTAGAGAGGGCTGAAAGCCCTATGAAGCGGTATATAAGTCTAACTGCTATTGCTATTTCTATCTCCATTTTGCTCTCTGAATTCATGGAGACCTAACCCTAACCCTAAATACATCTGCCCCCCACAATGGGATTTTCCCATGTATTTTACTACAAAACGTAGATAAGGCAGGCTCGAAAAGTCACCGCACTCCTAAGCATACCAATTCGGAATACTCCGAATCCATTGGCAATGTCCATTTTGCTCCGAATTCATTGAGAATTCATTTAACCCTAAATGGATTTTCCATTTAACCCCAATGGGATTTTCCCAAGGTATTTTCATTAAACTTCAGACTGTTATTTTCTAACCTACCGCAAATTGTTTTGAATTTTATTTCTCCATTTTAGACAATTTTATTTCTTTGTTTTTAAACACTTAATCCCATATTTATGACTTTATAGGCAAGTTCTTTCCACGCTACCCTGTCAAGCACAACTTCTTTTAATTGCTTTATTTTAGGCAATAAGCTATTGCCTATTTACGTCATCTCAGATCTACTCAGCATTCCTTCCAGCTTTTCATCCAAGTTGTTGTAAAAATATTGAAGGCTATAGGAGTAAAGATCGGATCTTGTGATGCCTCGCTAATTCTTACCTGCAGTTTATTGATCAGAGTTACCCTGTGGTAAGATGGCGGCCGATAAACGTAATAAATAAATTACAATTTGTCTAGTCTGGTTTTTAAGCTGGCTATCTAATCAGTTTAATGCCACCCCATCCAGCCCATATTTTAATTAACTTAGTAATCAGACTCTAATGACATATCTTGTCAACTTCTTGCTGAAGTCAAGATTTATTGATGGAACTGTTCTGGAGATTGAGAGACTGTTTCTTCTGTGAGACCGTGAAAAAGAATGTCTTGTGTGTCTCTAGTTTTTCATTATTATTGTCTTCCACTGGGTTTGTTCCTCTGGGTCTTTTCCTTGTGGTGAGATACTTCTTCTGTCAAACTCTGTTGACTCCTTTGCTGGTTTAATGAAGCTTATTCCTCCCTTATGTGCTGAACTGTGACTGCTACAGCCTCTTTCTTTTTCAGCCAAGCATCAGTACAAACTCAGAAAGATGTGTCAGATGGATATAAGACAGGGCCCCAAACACACCATAATCAAAACAAGCTTGTCCGCATCCATTCGTCAGGTTCACAGGTTAGCTAAGCACATACTGTCAACTTAGGCACTAGGCCAAACATGATTGTCTTATGAGCTGGCTCCATGAAAACTGATTCTCTCATAAGACCTTTTTTAAAGGATTTTCTTTTAGATTTGTTGTATGGATTTTTGCAGCCGGCTTTCTAATGTGATGCTAACTATCATAATTTTTCATAGACACGGGTGCATTGTCCTGTTCCTTTTTGAAATATGCAACATTATTCGGAATGCGGAAGAAGATTTTGCAAAAAATACTAAGCCAAAGAGAATAAAAGTTCTGAGATAAGAAACGGAGAATAACAATAGGTCGAACTAGTTTAAATTGACATTCTTAACTTATTCACTTTTTTCATTCATGCAGTTGATTTTCATTTTCATTCATTTTTAAAAAAAAGTTTTTGTTGTTTTTATTAAAGGAAAACACACCAAAAAAATCATATTTCATTACATCTTGTAGAAAGTGTATCCATTAGTTACAGGTATATTCTGTGTGTTTCTTCCACATATATTGTGGAATCCACATATATTTCATTCAGTTTAAATTGTACAATTTAGAATTTATTTATTTTATTATCACTGTACCACCATTTTCATTTAATAGAGTTTTAAGGACACAGGCACCTACTGACATTGTTAAAAAGATATCTAACATTCCCTCTCCCTTTCCCACCCCCCAAACTCACAAATTAACACTTCTGTCCATTTTACTTTTACTAGTGGATCGCATCTGCTTGTATCAAGCATTATATAATTATATTATAATATATTATAATATAATATAATATATTATAATATAATATAATATAATATAATATATTATAATATAATATAATATAATATATTATGATATGATATGATATGATAAGATTATATTATATTATATTATATTATATTATATTATATTATATTATATTATATTATATTATATTATATTATATTATATTATATTATATTATATTATATTANGACTCAGCCTTCCATCCTTCCGAGGTGGGTGAAATGAGGACCTGGACTGTGGGGGCAAGTTGCTGACTCAATTTGCTAAATAAATTTGTAAACTGCTTAGAGAGAGCTGAAAGCCCTATAAAGCGGTATATAAGTCTAATGAATGAATGAATGAATGAATAAATAAATAAATAAATAAATAAATAAATAAATAAATAAATAAATAAATATTTGTTTCCTTAGAGAAGCTGAACAAGGTGTTGCTTTGCATGGGACAAAAATGTGAGTGGAAAGTCCCTTAAAGAAAAAAAAACTGATTTCTTAATCCATCCCCACTTCCACCTGGACGATGGAAGCAGTCAGCATATGTCATGATTTCTTTTTTTATATATATATTTTTCAGCCTGCGGCAAATTGATGAAAATCACTGGTCCCATTACAGTCAAGACATCTGGAACCCGATTTGGAGCTTGGATGACAGACCCATTAGCATCCGAGAAAAACAACAGAGTAGGTGGCTTATATTCTCTCATGCTGGGAGCCGTGAAGGGATTCTTCTGGCTGATTTATTATCCCTGAAATTCTAAATAGAATGAATGGCAGTGTGAAAGTGTTTTAAATAAACAGGCAAATAAGCTTGTCTTAAACTTTAATGCCTGCTACACTTAAAGTTTATTCTGACTAGCGATGGTTCCCCAAAGGCTCGGGCGAACCCTGGTTACAGAGATCCATTTGACTGGAGATGAACTAAGGCCATCTGCATGCAAAGCATGCTTTCTACATCTAATCTCGTTTTCCTTCCCGGTGCAGCTTGATTGCCAGAGAGAAATAAATCTTTTTCTGTATCTGTAAGTCTAGCAAATGGGGTGCAGTTTTCACATCCATAATCATCATGCCAAATGGAAATGGAAATCTTGATTGAGGGGGACAGATGAGAGGGGCTTCTTATTTTAACTTTGGAATGCTAAAGTAGAATCTGCAGGAAAACATTGCAATATATTCTCACCTACTCATTGGAGTGGACCTGTTTAGTAGAAGAGCCAGTCGTGGCCTCCTCTACAATACATAATGAATTCAATCAGTCCACCTCTCCTTCTGTCTTCATTTTTCTGTTCCAGTTGACATTTATGGACATCCTGTGATGTTCAGTTCTTACTACCCCATTTTCAGCAAGGAGAATTTACATTAGTGTGTGTATATATATATATATATATATATATATATATATATATATATATATATATATA